CAGCTGCGGCTCGTGATCTCCCGGTCGGCCTTCCCGTCCGCGGAGATGGTACGTCCGGGGTACACAAACCGATCTGTCTGCTTGTACCTCTGGCCAGCGGCGCTGATCGTGAACGGGCGTTCCTCGATCCCTTTCGGCAGCATGCACATGATCTCCGTCTTTCCGATACCATCAGTCCGAACAGGCCGGCCGCGCGCACGATGACCGATATCATCTTCTCGAGACTCTCCGGCGAGCACGAGACGATGGCCGCGTCGTCAGCGTAGAGCATGGCCCACAGGGCCTCCGCGTCCGTCACCACCGTCGTCTTCTTCCCCGCCGACCTGCCCTTCTTGCCCGTGTACTCCACTTGTGTCCCGATCTTGACCATGTCCGCCGTCACCTTGGGGTCCTTGTCGAACTCGGCCACGGCGACCATGAGCATCGCGGCAAAGAGCAAGTTGAACAGCAGCGGGGCCAGTTTGCATCCCTGCCGGAGGCCTTGGCCCACGTCGAGACATTTCGAGTACTGTCCGTCGTCCGTTCGGACGCCCGCCCTCATGCCCTCGTGGAAGTGGCGAATGACCGCCAGCATCTTCGGGGGCACGCCGAAGCGTCGGAGCACGTCCCACAGTAGGTCTCGGTCTACCGAATCGTATGCCTTGGTGAGGTCGACGAAGCACGCGAACACCGCAGTACTCTTCTTCCTCGCGAGCTCATGGAGCCGCTGGATGGCGAACAGCGTATCGAGGGTCGACCGGTGTGGGCGGAAACCGCTCTGCTCCTCCGGGAGGATGCCCTCTCGCTCGCAGTAGTGGCTCAGTCGTGTAGCGACGATCTTAAGCAGCACCTTGCCGGCGTGTGCGACGAGCGAGATGCCCCGGTAGTTGCCGCACTCCATCGTGTCCCCCTTTTTGAACAGTACTTTGATGGTGGCATCCTTCCGCTGCTGTGGTACGTCCCCCGTCAGCCACATGTCCACGACAGTGGCGTGGAATTCGCGGAGGAGACTTCGATCTCCGTCCAGGGAAAGCTTAATCAGCTCAGTCGGTAGGTCGTCCGGCCGGACGGCCTTTCTGTTGCCCATTTCCCGTACCGCTTCCTCAACCTCAAGTCGAGATGGGATGTCGTCGAGGCACGCACGTGG